GTAATATAATAATAAGACATTAATCATATCTTAAATGGATCGCCTACTATCATGTTTTAGAAATAAATAAAATGTAATTCTTAAATTAATAAAAATATTCAAAATAATTTAAGATTCCTTGCGTTATGTTAATAAACATTAAACAAAATTTCTCACGAATTATTTAATATTCTGTCTCGTACTTCCATGTCTCTATTGCTTCGCTGTCAACAAGTTCTGGCAAGACATATTGCATATAAAAAATTTTAATTTTATTTTGTATCTTTTCTTCTCAAAAGCTGTCAATATGAGATATTTTCTCCACTTCTATTCCTCCAGAAGTCCAAAAGCACAAAATGCAAAAATCCATTTGTGTTATGTGCAGCTAGCCCTGAATTTGAAAATACCAATAGTGGTTCTCCTTAATGGAATTGTTCTTTTTCCAAAAAGTTATTTCTCTACTGCATATTTCTTCTGCTACAGTCCACACTTCAGCCCCATATGGACATTTTAACTCTATCATAGAGTTTTGTTTTTTTTTTAATTCCATCCAGACTGGCAGCAACATAATCAAATTCGAATTCAATAAAATGTCCAAATTTAAAAACTTTTACTTGCAAATAAATTTCCAAATCTTATTTTGTTTTGAATTTATGGTCCATGCCATATCGGGTGGCTTTAGAAATAAATAAAAGATTTTACGAGATTTTTTACAAATTTCTCCAAATTTTAAAGCAGTGACTCGTTTCCGTCTTCTATTGTGCCACAATGTACAATCAGCTGGTCACAATCGTTTTTATCATTTATAGACATTGGCTAACTTTTTAGAAAATGTTTTCTTGCAACGCGCCTCAAAGGGTATGACAAATCAAAGCCATGCGCGAAAGCAAGAAAAAATATTTACATTACTTTAACGGATTGAAGAGATATTAACATGCTGGAATTAATAATTATTGTTAACGCGAAGAAGTATTCATTAAACAAAAACATATAATTCACATATCAGTGTATACCTTCCAATTTCGTATATATATATATTTTTTTTAATAAATAAATGATAATATTAATTTAATATAATTGAGCGAAATTACTGTATGTAAAAAATAACAACATGAATTCAAATCACTCACTAAATAGAAAAAGATATATATTTTGTTGGTAACACATTCTAGATGAAAAAGCTTTTAACGTATTTCTATTTTTATTGTAATAAAAATAAATGCTCCTGTAGGAAAAAATTAAATATATTGTTCTCTTCTAGCATTTTTTAACATTTCTATTTCTTTTTGTTCCTTTTCTTAGATTTTTTCAAAAGAGACTGATTCATATTTTGAAAGTAAGTCCAGAGAGGTATGGGTTAAGCCTTTACCTGTACTTACATAAAATTTCTTTTAGTAAAATTAAAAAATAATCCGTAAAATTGGTGTACTATGAAACCCTTGCATATAATATATATATTCCAATCTTAGTATTATAGAAATAAATTACTTAAAAAATAAGGTGTACAAATACGTAAAATTTATTCATCCCTCGTAAAACATCAGTAAAATATATTATAAATTGTTTTCATTCACAAATATTAATTTCTTAAAAATCTAAGAGAGGCGCCACTTTCCAGACGAAAAATCTTGCAATGTAAGGGTTTCGTAGTACCCCACTTTTAAAGTTTATTTTTGAATATTTTTAAAATAAAAAAATATGTGTGTGTAGGTAAAGGTTAAATCTATGCTCCTCTGGAACCACTTTTTCAAAATTCAATTTAGTTTCTTCTAAAAAAAATTGAGAAAATGGGTAAAACAAGTAGAGTTTTGTATTTTTTTTTAGAAAAAACTGTTTCAAATTTTAAAAAAGTGTTTCCAGAGGAGCATAGATTTATCCTTTACCTACACGTACATATTTTTTTCCTTCAGAATAAGTCAAAAATAAACTTTAAAAGTGGGGGTACTACGAAACCCTTGCATGCTCCGCTCTACAGCCAAGTAAATACTCCTCTTAATTTAAATTTAAAATAATGAAATATAAATTTTACAAATGTCCTTCATGTTTATTATATTAATTTTGTGACAGTGTTATTAATTGGGTTTACATATTTATGTTTTGATCCGAGTTTTTTTTTAATATCAGGAACAAAGACTTGTACATAGTTCTGTCTAGAGTGACAGCCCTGATATTTGACTAAATACTATTTTTTTTACCAATATATTTTTGATAACCGATAACTGCAAATTAAGAAAAGTTTCTTACAAAAATTTCTGTACGTTAACATATACGTTAATATACAGGGTAGCTGTTAAAGATGGAACCAAACCTATAGTGCTTAAACGGTTCAACACATAAAACCCAAAATTTTAGAATTTTAACTAAATATATTTGCGCATATTTTAGCTCAAAAAAATTTTTTTTATGATAACAAAATTTTAAGCATGGTCGCCATCTTGATTTTTTTAAATAGCAACATAGGTCATGTGATATACCATTTGAAAGGGTTTAACACCCTGATTACAAAAATGTGTCACACACTAATATAACAACTATAGAAGGTATTTTCTTAGTTTAACCTCGAAAATATCGATGATTACGAACGTTTTTTAGCAGTCACGATAATTGCATTAAATATGTTAAAATACTCGATAGGTATTTCTTACGTCACCAGGCAACTGAAACTCAATAATATTAAATGGGACCTTATTATAACCATCAAAAACATTGTAAACTAAAAAAATAGTATGATTGAATAGGTATTTTTAATGCCTTTCAAACGAGGTGTCACTTGATATAAGGTCCCATTTAATATTATTGGTTTCAGTTTCCTGGTGACGTCACCAATGCCTATTACGTCACCTGTTACCACTAGTAGAGAAGCTCACAACACAATGGTTCATTTTCACCCTCTTAATTTCATCAGTCTAAGTATCACCGTTCAAAAGAAGAGAGGGGGGAGGGGACTTTTGAGAAGTACTGTATAAAGATTTTTAAAGATAAAATTGAATTAAATCGCCATGGTGCAAATTCTTGATTTTTGTTAATTTTTCAAGGTTCCAGACCTTCTCCGAAGTTTCAAATTTACCAATTTTCAAAACTTTTGCTTTTTTTTGACGAAATAAAAAATATTTTCATATTTTTACAAAAAAAAATTATGTTTCAAAAAAGGTTCAAATCTGATATAATGTTGAAAATAATACAGTATATATTGCTTCAAGTTTGCAGCACTTTTGCATTTTTTTAAGATAGTTATAATAAATCTTAATTTTTTGGAATTATTAATATGTTCCGGACCTCAGAAAAAGTTGCAAAATTAAATTTACAATTTTTTCAATTTAATAAATATTCCAACAAAGTTTCAAAACTTTTGTATTAATGTGAATTGATTATCTCTAATGACTGGCCTATTATATAAAAATCCTGAAATCTCTCGATTTTTAATTGTAAATGGGCGTTTCGTCAGAATTCCCTTTTATTTTTGACGTTATTTATATGAGCGTGACGACATCATCAGTACATTTTTTTAAATAAAAACATGGGCGTTTCAATATATTATTTGAAAGGTCGTTTAAATATCTATTTAACCATATCAATATTTCTAAGTAATTAATTTTTGTTTTTTTTGTTTTAAAATAGTTTATTTATTTGAAACAGTTTATTTATAATTTATTTACATTAATTACTAATTAACTTCGTAAAATCCTTCTTTCACGCGTTGGCCTGCGTACAAAAAAAAATTCCAATCGATTCTTGGCCGCCAGCGTCAGTTGGAACAGTAGCAATGGAAGTCAATACAAAGCAGGGCCGGACTGGTTGCATGATATCGCTTCCTTCTTAAGAAATAGTTCTTCCTGAAACTAAAACTAAATGGATGTATCTGCAACTGGACCCTATTTTACAATTTTCATTTGCATGGAAGTAACAAGGGACGATTTTAGCTGTAACCTAATGATCTTACAATTCAGCTGGTTACTCTCTATCTTTGGCATAGCTAGTCTGTGTACATTAGACTTTAGTACGTGGTCTCTCAGACTAAGTTATTTTTTTTATACATCATGGTAAGTTGATCGATCTCAGGAGGTGTCCTAGAAAAAGTTAATGTGACCAAACTTCTTCCGGAACACAGCTACCAGATCTCTAGCGTCGTTGATGCTGGCGGAAGTGCTATGGTATATACCCATGCATTCTTCAAAGACAAGATCAGGTGTTTCTTGGAGCTGGTTTACTTCTTCTTTGTCATGGTCACCCTCAAATGTCGCCAGCTTGTTTTGGTGCACTACCTTTGGTTTACCGTTCGGGATACTACTGGTAAATGACGTCGTTAATGTTTTCTTAATGAGGTATAGGTCTTCCCAAGACCTTTGGAAAATAACCCTTATGTCTTATTAAGTTATGTAGCCAGACTTTGTCGCCTTCCTTGAAACAGCCTTTTGTGACTTGGACATTACACCGTTTTCTTAACTGTCTTCTTAACACCAAGATGTCCTTCAAATGAACTGTCGTGTAACTGACGTTTTTCTTTTTGGACCCATCATCATTCTCTATAAGCTAATAAAATATTTATCATTTTAAAAACGCATGCGCGGTCAAAACAGTCCAAGTCTATCCACACTCCGAAGCATAAAGACATTTTGACTGTGTACAACAATCACGGATTATTTCGGATACGAAACTAGATACACTGGACTGGGAGATCTGAAGTAGTCCAAGAAAAACCAGATCGCTTTTAATCTACTGCGCATAAGCCCGACAGTTGTGGATCGATATTTCTCAAAACCAGAACAGACCTATAGCTTTATTCGCGACAGAGGAGCATGCGCATTTCGATTTCAGGTGGTCTATTTTCGCGGAGAATGTCGTGGACTTGTCGGGGACAGGCTCTGCAAACAAAGCTAATATTTCTACTGACCAGTTAAAACATTTTTGTAATTTTTTTTTAACAGGAAGTCAATTTAATTTAGCGAAGCGTTAATTTTGTCCATGAATTTATTATCATATTCTAAAACTTTCCTAAATTATTATAAACAATTTTTTTTTAGTTTAACTGAGAGTCAGTTTGACACCACTCCGATGATGTCGACTTATTCAATCGGCTTTATCGTTTCCAAATTAAAACCGGTGATCGAAGAAATAACCGATGTCGACTTCGCTTACAACGTTTTTACAAAGCCTAGTTTTAAACGATTCGGAAAAACTATGATAGATCAAAGTTCTAAGTTAGTAAATGCTATGGGAGAATGGACTGGTACAAAATACCATGAAATGGGTAATATACAGCTATATTCAATACCTATTGAACATTTACATTACGGAGAGGCAAATAATTGGGGACTACTAGTTAGTAGGTAAAAGTTCACAAATAAATTATACATAAAATCATATTTCCTAGATTATTTATTTGATAAGATTTGTTAAAGTAAATTTAATAGACATTCACTTAAAAATAACACGTAGAAAACTCAATCAACCATTAAACAAACAAAATACTTGCCAGCGCACCTGGAGAAAATCTACTAACACCTATAGTGTAGTACACAAATTGACTTACGTAGTACTTTGTCCTCAGCTGAGTATGTTACTGTTACGCTGTATGTTACTGTTACTACACTAGTATTATTGAATCTGTTTGTTTTGGTTGTTACGCACAACCAAAATTGTGTTACGTTAAACCACGTTAGTGCCAATTAGCTACGTGATAATTAAATTGAGTGCCAAATCTGTTACATGATAAGTTGGGTATCAGAAATGTTGTCTTAGTTACCCTCGGCCTAGCTCAGCAGAATCGGTGAAATTCGGCTTAGAATTTAGCTAGCAAATCAATGGCACTATCTTTATTTAAAGAGACAATAAAATGTTCTATTAATGGTTAAGGACGTCATGTAATAGGATGGTTAATAAATAAAAATTATGGTTGTGTGTAACATAATTGGCGTCCAACGTGGGGCTCCAAACCCATAGTTCTTTCAATATGGTAGCTTATTCCGTTTTATGATTAGCCAGTTCTAAATAACTCTCTTACATCCACTTCGTAATTTGGATAAGCACCACATTGGATTTACGATTCAGTTCCAGTTTGTATGTTAGTGTTACTATTATAGAGGTAGGTCATCGACTTAGGCGATTGTTCTTGTGCCCTCTGGGCAGCTCCATTTTAGGACTAACCTTAAAGCTAAGCTCTGTGGTGCTCCCTATGATACTCATACTGCTTTTGCTTACGGTCATGGTGCGACCTGTATGTTAAAATACCCGTGTCTATTATAGTTGGCAACCCTGTCTGAATTAGTTACTTTTTGTTATATAAAGATGACTACCTGTATTTTTCGTCTGTCAAAGTGAATGTAAGTTGTAAGCACTTCCGGTAAGATCAACCATTTTGTATGTACGCACCAAAAACCTGAGTTTACTGTATTGTTTGTTCAAATACTTATTTTATAATAAAAACCTTTCACCAAACTATTTCCACATTATTTGTTTAACATGGGTTATGGGCCCAGATGAGCTTTGGTGATTGGTGAAGCGAGATAAAGAAAAATATAAAAAGTAAGGTTAAGAGAAGGCGTGGCACGTGTCGGCGGTGCAAGTTTTTTGATTTAAAGAACTATAATAAAAGCAATAACGATGGCTGAAGGCAATGAAAATAAATATGGAATAATCCCGTTCAAAGGAAGCAATTTTGATAATTGGAAATTTAGAGTTGAGTCAGTATTAAAAGCACTTGAAGTCCAAACTGTTTTAGAAGAGATACCGGAGGCAAGTAAAGATGAAAAATGGATAAAAATGGATAATAAAGCAAGAAATATAATAGTACAGAGTGTAGCAGATTCGCACCTGGAGTATGTGAAAGATATAGAAAGTGCAAGAGAAATGTTCATAAAACTGGAGGCAGTATTTGCAAAGAAGGGAATTTCATCAAAATTTTACTTATTGAAAGATTTAATGAACTTAAAATATAACTGTTTCGATGATCTTCAACAACATTTTACAAAATATGATAAAATTCACAGAGAATTAAAAAGTTTGGGAGCAAGCTTTGGTGAATCAGATATGGCATGTTTTCTACTTTTATCAATGCCAAAAGAATATGAAAACATTGTTACGGCAATAAAAACGGTATCTGGAGATATTTTGAGCTTGGAAACTGTTAAAAAGAGGCTAATTGAATTTAAAAGCGATAAAAATGATGGTAAAAATAGATCCAGCGTGCCTGCATCATTTATTGCAAAAACAAATAGCATTAAATGTTATAAGTGTGGAAAAATTGGTCATTTACAAAATGTTTGTGGTGTTAAATGTTACATATGTCAGAAATTGGGTCATCGGGCATCAGACTGCAAACATAAAAGACTTAATAGAAATGCAAGCATTAGTGGTGGAGCACATTATTCAAAAGAAGATAGTGTAAGCAATGGACTAAACCAAGATGTAGATGTTGCATTTTGTTCAATAGATAGTGGTGAGAAAATTGACAGCTTGTACTGGTATGTAGATTCTGGTGCTACACACCATTATATTAATGATGAAGAAGTTTTAATAAACAAAAGCTACTTTGATGAACCTAAGAAGATTCAACTAGCTGAGAAAGGAAAGGATATGGTTGCCACCTGCTGTGGTGACATCAAGGTGTTGAGTGTTTTAGAAAATGAAAATATATTTGTTACTTTAAAAAATGTATATTGTGTTCCAGATTTAAGAGTAAATTTGTTAAGCGTTTCTAGTATAGAAAAGGCAGGTTTTGAGATAACATGTGCTAGTGGTATTATTTCAATTAAAAAGAATCAAAAGGTGTATGCTCAAGGTAAAAGAGAGGGAAATTTGTATAAAATATTATTTCAATTAAATTATAACGATAATACCAGCAGTGCTATGTTAGCTAAAACTGATAGTAAGCTTTGGCATAAAAGATATGGCCATCATAATTTTGAATCTTTGCAGAAAATAAATAATTTAGTAAGTGGAATGTATCTAAAAAATAATAATAATGAAAATGTGTGTGAAATATGTGCAAAGTCCAAGCAAAAATGTTTACCCTACCATTCAAAATTAAATAGGTCAAAAAGAGTTTTAGAGTTAATTCATACAGATGTATGTGGACCAATTGCACCTATATCACACAATGATAAACGTTACTTTGTAACTTTTGTGGATGATTTTTCACGATTTGTTATGGTTTATGTCATTGAACGCAAGGAGGAGGTATTTCAATGTTTTAAAAATTATGAAGCAAAGGTAACATCGTTGTTCTGTGGTAAAAAGATAGCAAAACTTCAATGTGATAATGGTGGTGAGTATTCCTCTCTAGAATTCAAAAATTTCTGCTTGCAAAAAGGTATTGATATTTTATATACTCCCCCATACACTCCCCAGATGAATGGAGTTGCAGAACGCATGAATCAGACATTAATGAATAAAGCGAGAGCTATGATTGTTCAAGCAAATATTAGTAAGGTATTTTGGGAAGAAGCAGTATTTACTGCAGCATACATAACTAATCGTACACAATCTTGTTATTTCAAAGATAAAACTCCTTATGAGTTGTGGGTAGGTAAGAAACCAAATGTAATCAATATGAAAGTTTTTGGATGTATAGCATATGCTAGAGTACCTGATTTACTTAGAACAAAACTTGATAATAAGGGAATAAAATGTAGATTTATAGGCTATGCTGAGAATGGCTTTAGGTTATGGGACATAGAAAAAGGTAAAATTATACACAGTAGAAATGTTATATTTGATGAAGAAAGATTCTGTGAAGAAATCAATTAAAAGAAAAATTATAATTTTTTGGAAGAAAAAGACTGTGAAAAAGAAGAAAGTAATGGAACTGAAGAAATTATCAAAAATGGAGAAAGTAATGAAGTAGAAGAAGAAAGTAATGAAGTAGAAGAAGAAAGTAAAGAAAAGGTTGATGGAGGTGAAGAAAAAGAATCACAAGAAGAAAATATGGAAGGTGATTCCAAAAGAAAAGAAAGGCGAAGAAGACAACTACCATCATATTTAGAAGACTATGAAGTAGATTTTGGCTGTTTAGCCCTAATAAGTGAATGCAATGATGTTCCAAAATCCTATAAAGAGGCACAGAAAAGTCTAGAATGGCCAAAATGGAAAAGGGCTGCCGAGGAAGAATTGAATGCCTTAAAAGATAATGACACTTGGCAGTTAGTCAAGAAGCCTGAAGATGAAAACATATTAAGTAATAGATGGGTTTTTAGAGCAAAAGACGAAGGTGAGAATAAAATAACTTATAAAGCTCGTTTAGTTGTGAGAGGTTTTGAGCAAGATTTTAATGATTTTTCACAAATCCATGCACCAGTTGCAAAACTTTCAACTTTTAGAATTCTCTTAGCTATTTGTGTGAATGACAGTTTATTTTTAGAGCAATTAGATGTTAAGAATGCTTTTTTAAACAGTTTTATTAATGATAAGATTTACATGTATATTCCTGAGGGGTTGATAGTTGATAAAAAGGATATAAATAAAGTATGTTTGCTAAATAAATCTATATATGGCTTGAAGCAAGCTCCAAAAGTGTGGAATGAGCACTTTAATTCATTCATGACAAATATTAACTTTAACCGATCAAAATCAGACTATTGTTTATTTACCTATTTTAAAAGGGACTTACGATGTTATCTATTGCTTTATGTGGATGATATTTTGCTAGCATGTAATGATAAAAACTTTTTGTTTCATGTAAAATCTAAACTTTGTGAAGCCTTTAAAATGAAAGAGCTAGGAAATATTAAAAACTTTTTAGGAATACGTGTGTCAAGAGATTTTAACAATAAAATAATAACTATTGATCAAAGTTCTGCTATTAAGAATCTAGTAAGAAAATATAATATTGAGGATTGTAAAAATGTAAAAACACCAATTGAGAAAAACTTAAACTTAGAGAAAAATTCAAATGAGATTTTAAAAACTATATTGCCTTATAAAGAGCTTTTGGGTTCTTTGGTATATATAATGATGGGCACAAGGCCTGACATTTGTTATTGCGTGGGATATTTCTCTAAATTTCAAGATAATGCAACGGATGAACATTTTATACACTTGCTCAGAGTCTTAAAATATTTAAAGTTTACACTTGATTATAAATTAGCTTTTCATGTATCTGATAATAGTTTATTTGGCTTTAGTGATGCAGATTGGGCAAATGACATTGTTGATAGGAAGTCAATAAGTGGTTTTTGTTTTAAATTATTTGATAATTTAGTATCTTGGGCTTCCAAGAAACAGTCAATTGTTACTCTAAGCAGTACAGAATCAGAATTTGTTGCATTATGTATGGCTAGCTGTGAACTTCTATTTTTAAAGAATATTTTAGATGATTTAAAAATTCAGTATGTTTTTCCTATTAATTTGTATGAAGACAATCAAAGTACAATTAAATTACTTCAAAATTTTGAGAATAATAAAAGATGTAAACACATAGAAGTTAAATTTCACTTTATTGTTGATCTTGTGGTTAAAAATGTTATAAAAATTGTTTATGTTAATACCAATGATCAGCTAGCAGATATATTTACTAAGAGTTTGTGTCTTGAAAAATTTAGTAGATTTGTTAAAATGTTAAACTTAGTTATGAATTAATATGTTAAGCTTAAGGGATGAATTGTATTTTGTTTTTTGAAACAAATTCAGTCAGGTTTGAGGGACGGTGTTAAAATACCCGTGTCTATTATAGTTAGCAACCCTGTCTGAATTAGTTACTTTTTGTTATATAAAGATGACTACCTGTATTTTTCGTCTGTCAAAGTGAATGTAAGTTGTAAGCACTTCCGGTAAGATCAACCATTTTGTATGTACGCACCAAAAACCTGAGTTTACTGTATTGTTTGTTCAAATACTTATTTTATAATAAAAACCTTTCACCAAACTATTTCCACATTATTTGTTTAACACTGTATAGTAGTTGTTTAAAAACGCTGAACTGTAGTTACTTATTTCACTTTCTTTGATCCTGTTTAGTATTTTACTCTAGAAGATTTTGAGCATCTAGTACATCAACACGCATCACTTCCATCTTTTTTTACCTCTTTTAATAGCTTCTCCACAGCTTATATTCTGGACCAGCTTTTCCTGAATCCAAACTCCAAAAAAATCTACTCTTTATTTCCAATTATTCTTTCAGTCTGATCCTGATGAGAATTTTATGCTGCTTTCCCATAAGCATAGGTATATGGGGGGTTGACGTTGTGAGTTCTTACACTTTGTCATTTTGTATTATGACTACCCTGGCTTTCTTACACTGGTTGAGAAGCTGCTCTTCTGCAAGAGTTCGTTCAAATACCCCCTTAAAGAAGGATGGTATTATCTTTATTGTTATTTTTAGGGTATCCGGAAAATTTTCATCGCATTCAGGTACATTACCGCTTTTCTGTGACTATTCTACATCTGCAATGCCTATTCTGTTGATAACACTTTTTTAAATTAATTCAGGTTTAAGTCATTTGAGAGCTTTATGACAAGGATGCTATATTTATAATGAGTATCCATGTTAAAAAATTATTGTGTAAAAATAGCCTTTTTTATTTCTTCAAAAACGAAAATTTTAAACATTTATATAAAATATTGTAACTTGATTTTTCAATGGAGAATCAAGATTGCTAATTCTGGATCACCAAAAATCATCGGCATTAACAAAAAATGTGGCGATTTTTTTTTTTTAGAGAAGAATATTCTTTAGATGAGGAAACAAACACTACCGCATTACAAAAGCAAACAATTATTTTGAATCTAGCAAATCAAATAACACAGCAATGGTTTGGGAGTTATGTATCGTTAAATTGGTGGTCGAACACATGGTTAAATTTAGGTTTTGCAAAATTTTTCGAGTATTACATATCCAATCAAGTAAGTAAGACTCATTTATTATCAAGTGAGTAATTTTTAACATGATACAATAAAAAGCAGGTACAGTTCATCAAATTTCTAGAGGCTTTCGACGGCTAGACAGAGAAAGCACTACTGACAGGCATCCCGACGGATTTACGCAATGAAAGTACACTCTGCGCATCAAGTATTTCACTATTTCATTCAGACGTAAATGTCAGATGTAAATTTCGCTAAAACATTTCTTTTATTTTCGTTTGTGTTTTTTGCTCATTACAGTTTAATAGAACCTAAGTATGGAGTTTAATAGCAAATTAAGAGGCCGCGTGATTAACAGTCAATCTCGCGAAATAATAGCCAATGTTATAGAGTTTATGAGAAGAGAAGGAAACTTTAATTCACCTTCAATACCATTTAAAAATGTAAATGATCGTGTTGCTGCAGCCACAGGAGTATCTAAAAACACTGTCGTCCGCATTTCTGGAGAGAAAAATGAATCGATAACCGTGAGATATCGGAATTTTCATCACCAAGAAAAACCATTAAAAAACCAAAAACAGTTAATGATATAGATGAAGCTGCACAAGAATCAAATTTTATTTTTTTATTATTAGATAGCTATTTTTGTTTCCGAGTTGTGTTCATTTACAGGCTCAATTTTTTTCCGTTTCTCCTTTTTGATTTTATATGGGGTTTCAAGTTGTTTTTGACTTATTTCGACGTAAATCACAACAACACACTTTTTTAATAAAGCAAACAAGTGTTAAGAGGTATATGTACGTGTAAACTACAATTACAAAAAATTGATATGAAACCCATGAAACCACCAACAAAAATGTAAAGCTAGCTTCCGTACTAGAACATGGTGTCATTCGTCGAGATAATTTATCGTTTTGTTTAATAGATCAAGAAATGTAAATATTCCCCTGTTATTTTTTATAAAATTATAAGAGAAATAAAATTTTTTCTAAATAGTATAGTTTATTATTTTGTAGAAAAACAAAATTTCGAAAATTTTAGTAATGTTTCAGAAACAACCGTTATTAATAATAGGTACCATTTTCCTTAATAAGGTAGAAATAAAATATAAACTATTTCCACGATTTACAAAGGCCTACAAAAAAATTATAGGTATTTTCCGCTATCCTATAAAATTTATATTTTCTGACTCAATTTCAAAAGGTTGAAGGAATTCCAAAACACCTTTTATGGTATAATAATTATTTTCAATTCTACATACTATCCTTTAGCTGCTTTTAAAAACGTTCTAAGAAAGTCCAATCAGACCAATTTAATCCCTAAACTATTCCACACTTTTAAAATTTAATTACCTAAAAATATTAAAAACTATTTAAAATAACTTGTTTAGCAGACTGTACAATAGCTATCTTAGTCACACGTAGCGCGTTCTCTGTCTGGGCGTCGAACACCTCTAGACATTTGATGAACTGTATGATATTACGCAGATTGATATTATACGTTACGGTGACGTAATGTGGTGGAAGGCGTGGCTTTTACAAATTTGAAGTATCGGCTAATAACAACGCCTGTAAAAAATTTTAATCGGCTCATGGCCAATCAGACCACACCATATTCCACACCACAATACGTCATGTGCAAACTCGACGAGATTACGTCGGCTAAGCATCATACCTCTGTTTTTTTTTTTGTATCACGATTTTTAACACCTCTTGTTTAATTATAATTATTACAATACCTAATTTTGTTATTAGGTTAATACTGGCTTTGATTTTGAAAACCAATTCATTATAAACGTTCTACAAAATTCTCTATATGAAGATTCCATTTTAAGCTTTGATGAATTATCCAGTAAAGAAGAAGATATTGTAACACAATCCGACATTTTAAAAAAAATTAACAAATTAATGTCAAACAAAGGTATTTATTATCTTACAAATGATACTTGGCTTCATTTTGTTTTGTTCTTCAAGCTCATTTTTACGAAAGCATGAAAGGACTAAAAAATATATTTTGTACAAGAGCACGACGCCGTAGGCGGACAATCCACTCGAGTTATACAGAATATCTTTTCTACGACCCACTAACGAAAATTTACAAATAAAAAAAATGTTTTAGGTTATTAAGACAAAATAACTAATTTTAATATAATTTATAACTTTTAATAATTTTTAAAATAAATTAACCGAAAAAAAAAAGAAAAAAGTTCAATTAATTTTTCCCCATACGAGAATCAAACTCGAGTCATTAGTTTGGAAGGCAAGAACGCTAACCACAGGACCACCTATTCTTTTATTTTTGTTGCTTTAAATACTCGTAATTAAATTGACTTAATATGGTTTTATTTAAATTATCAAATTATTTATAATTATACACGAAATAAAAACAGAAATGCTATTATTTATCGATTCTACACAAGAATAACTCATTTCAATGTATGTGTATTCTCAATAACTAAAAAATATACTGACAATTAGTTTGATAGAACTGTCACTTATTTAAAATTTTAAAAATAATAGCAGTCGGTTGATCAAAATATGACCGGCGATTGATACATTTAATTTTTTCCCAGTGTTCTCACTATCTAGAATGGATATGAAATATATTCGTTCAGTTGAAGGCAATAGCATACTTTTTCGTTTTGTAATCTGTGCGAAGATAAGCTAATATCCATGTGGGTGTGGAAAAAATATATTTTGTAGTCGTTCACCGTACATTCCATATTCATTATTTAAATCCTACAAATAATATTTAAACTAGTTTTTCACTAGTTTACCTGTTTCACTGTTTTAAATTTATAACAGTTTTGTTTCTTTAGGAGCAAGTATTATACGTATGATGCAATCAATTTTGGGCAAGGAACTGTTTCGAAACAGCATGATCTCTCATATCAATCAATTGTAAGTATATTCTAATTTCAATTAGGCTTTCAATACGCAAATATATTTAGTTATTTATTTCCCGACAAGCTAATGTGCCACTTCTATGATAACTATGAGCTGCCTATTATTTCCGGATTCAACTATACGACCTATTGTTTGGTACCTAAACAGAATTGTCGGTTGCGTGTAATTGGTTGTAAACTGAGAAAAAATAAAAATATATGAGCGAGTTTCTGTTATGTTATATCGGGTGACAAAGAGACCATGGCCACGTTAATATCTCTTTCATTTCTGAAATAATTGGAATCAAATTTGGGACAAATCTACTAAACATAATTTCGAATTGAAACTTATACACACGGGAAAAAAATCACTAACCGTTAGCGAACTTTTACTTACTGCAAATAAAAAGTTGTATACTATTATATGGGACAGGTAAAATGTTTAATTATAGTAAGTAAAACAATATTTCTGAAATTAGTGGTTAGTAAACAGTTCAATTAGTTTTTAGACGACCTACAGTTAGTGAACTGTTTACTTGTGGTTGGTGTACATTAGTTTCTTACTATATAGGTACATTTTATGCTACTAATTAGTTTTGGTTTACTGTTCATCAAATTTCTAGAGGTGTTCGACGCCCAGACAGAGAACGCGCTACGTGTGACTAAGATAGCTATTGTACAGTCTGCTAAACAAGTTATTTTAAATAGTTTTTAATATTTTTAGGTAATTAAATTTTAAAAGTGTGGAATAGTTTAGGGATTAAATTGGTCTGATTGGACTTTCTTAGAACGTTTTTAAAAGCAGCTAAAGGATAGTATGTAGAATTGAAAATAATTATTATACCATAAAAGGTGTTTTGGAATTCCTTCAACCTTTTGAAATTGAGTCAGAAAATATAAATTTTATAGGATAGCGGAAAATACCTATAATTTTTTTGTAGGCCTTTGTAAATCGTGGAAATAGTTTATATTTTATTTCTACCTTATTAAGGAAAATGGTACCTATTATTAATAACGGTTGTTTCTGAAACATTACTAAAATTTTCGAAATTTTGTTTTTCTACAAAATAATAAACTATACTATTTAGAAAAAATTTTATTTCTCTTATAATTTTATAAAAAATAACAGGGGAATATTTACATTTCTTGATCTATTAAACAAAACGATAAATTATCTCGACGAATGACACCATGTTCTAGTACGGAAGCTAGCTTTACATTTTTGTTGGTGGTTTCATGGGTTTCATATCAATTTTTTGTAATTGTAGTTTACACGTACATATACCTCTTAACACTTGTTTGCTTTATTAAAAAAGTGTGTTGTTGTGATTTACGTCGAAATAAGTCAAAAACAACTTGAAACCCCATATAAAATCAAAAAGGAGAAACGGAAAAAAATTGAGCCTGTAAATGAACACAACTCAGAAACAAAAATAGCTATCTAATAATAAAAAAATAAAATTTGATTCTTGTGCATCTTCGTTGTAAAAATAGATAATACTTTTTTGATCTTAGGTACAGATATAATTTTAATGGTCTTCCGAAAAACTTTCTTCAGTTTCCATATCAGATTCAAAATCAGTCTCACTGTCATAAAAATTTAGATTCCCACATTTTAGCATTATTACAACGAGATTGCCACTCCTCTTTAGAAAACGTATCAAAAAAGTCTTCACACAACAGTTGTACGTCTTGCCTCTTAAATGTAGTGTTGTTACTAGCTACATATTGTTTCAATGATGCCCACACTAATTCGATCAGATTAAGATCGGGATGATACGGTGGCAAACGCAAACAACTAAAACCATGTTCATTTATCATTTCTTCAATTGCATACCTCTTAAATCGTGACTTATGCAATAGCACTAAACTGTATAATTGCGTTTTGAGCATATCCTCTTCGTAAGCAATATTATGATTCCTTAACCAATCCTGCATGTCAGCTTTTTTAGAAGTTGACGTTGGTGCTTTTGTTACGGGTTAATTGTAAAAATTTAATTAATTTAAATTTGAATATCTTTTCTGGGTATAATTTAAAGTAAATAGTAAATTTACCTGTTTTCCAATAAGCTGACATAAAATAAATGAAGGCAAAGTAAAACTATTAACTTTATTCGGAATATCCTTCTAATACAAAGTATAACAATTTATTTCAAATGTTCTACTCCCATCATAATTCTTCTTAGTTCACTAAAAGGGTATTTTCTATCTTCTTATAGTGACTTTCCTGAAATATAAAAATAAATATTAAACCCTGAATAAATTAATAACAATAACATAACCTTTAGAATTTCAAAGGTTCAAAGTTCAATGATTCTTCTTTTCTTCTCATACATAAAAATTGTCAATTAGCAAACTAAAACTTCTCGGGTAAACCTACAACCAGATCTTTTCTATAGTCTTACCTCTAGACTAACAAGACCGGCTAAGGTCAATAAAAAAAAGGAACTTTTTTTGGAAAGCTTTCTTTTTAGAACGCACATTTTGGTTCGTGAAGAACGTGCTCGCATTATTGCGGATTTTTACATAAATTTAGAATATATTAGTGAATATTTCAATATTTACGAAAACTAGTAAATATCACATCACTGTGGATATAATTTTCATAATTATTCTTAGATTTAGAATTTAAAAACTTCGACTTTATCGAAGCCACTTGGAGGCCTCACGCCACGCCAAGGTGAGTTATAGAAATAACTTCTTCAAAATATTCTATTTAAAATTTACTCTGGTTGTTAAAATGTAAAATATTATTTTAGGTCTCTTCTCTTTTCTTTTCTTAAGTTATCGTGTAATAACTTACCTTATCGTATCACATCAGATTCTCTTGTTTTCCAATCGTTATTCACCCTCTTAATTCATCTTTGGACTCGAAGAAACCCTCACGAATATTCCTGAGTAGGTACAGGTTACGTACATCCAACAGAGGCTGACATCACTAGGCTAAGAAGCAGTGAATGCACTTTCGAGGAAATCCTGAGTCTACTGGAACGCAGCTAAGTAGTAGCAATACAAGATATACCACTTTATTATTTATTTTCACATATTTTTCGTACTCATAACCATAGTCCATAATGCTTAGAGAAAACTAGGATTGTTCTTTTTATTAAATAGGAGGTAGTCTTCAATAACCTACAAAATATATAAAATTCATATGAAACTTATAGATTTGCTATCTAAATTAATAACTAGCTTTTTTAAATATAATATAGGTTTACTTACTTTGTATGGCCCAAAAGATTAGTTGTGAATCTTCACGTATAGTATGCATACCACACAGAAGACCGGGGCTTGACTTTATTGTAAATAATATATTATTCTCTAACAATAATTGTAACATAACTTCATCCCATTGTAAATATCTTATAAACAACAAACTCCATCCATTTACTGCAGATAATAAAATACTGTAGAGAGACAACCCTCTTGTTTAATTAAAAATATAAATTTAAGTGCCCGAACCACTTCACAGAAAACCCTGGAATCGGGAGATAATTTAACCAAAAAGGTTAAAATCCCCCTTTTAAAGTAACAATTTGGTAAGGAGCATTATCAACAATAATGACGCTTCTTGGAGGGAGGTTCGGAAACAGCTTTTCTTTCAACCATTTAGAAAAATTATTAAAATTCATTTCATCGTGGTAGTCTCCACTTTTGGTTCCAGATTTGAAAATTAACCGGGCATTCGGAATAAAGCCCATTTCACCTCCTGCATGGACAATAATTAGTCTATCACCTTTATTAATTGGTTTCATTAATCCCTTATTTGAATTATCACTCCAAGCTTTCTGGTGTGTGTGGGAGGCATGAATGTATGTTTCATCTAAGTAGACAATTGGACGGCCCTCTGCTCGATAACTTTTTAAACGAATCAGATAGTCTAAACGTAGCTTTTGAATATCAAACCTTTCCATTAATATTTTTCTGTTTGTTTTTGTTTTCCGCCAACGAAATCCTAGGGACTTTATTATTTTTCTTAAACTTTCATAGCTTCTCTAAATTTAGTCAGAATTGTTTTTAATGTTGGAACAATATTTTCCGAGATTAACATGAACAGAATAATTCTTTTTAAAATACCTTTGTCAGCTTCATCTATATCATTAACTGTTTTTTGTTTTTTAATGGTTTTTCTTGGTGATGAAAATTCCGATATCTCACGGTTATCGATTCTTTTTTTCTCTCCAGAAATGCGGACGACAGTGTTTTTAGATACTCCTGTGGCTACAGCAACACGATCATTTACATTTTTAAATGGTATTGAAGGTGAATTAATGTTTCCTTCTCTTCTCATAAACTCTATAACATTGGCTATTATTTCGCGAGATTGACTGTTAATCACGCGGCCTCTTAATTTGCTATTAAACTCCATACTTAGGTTCTATTAAACTGTAATGAGCAAAAAAGACAAACGAAAATAAAAGAAATGTTTTAGCGAAATTTACATCTGACATTTACGTCTGAATAAAATAGTGAAATACTTGATGCGCAGAGTGTACTTTCATTGCGTAAATCCGTCGACCCCGCCAACCGATGCCTCTCAGTAGTGCTTTCTCTGTCTAGCCGTCGAAAGCCTCTAGAAATTTGATGAACTGTATTTGTCGCTAGTTAACTGTTTTTTTGTGATAAGTGATTTTTGTTTTAGTGGGTGGTATATATGTATTTATGATCTTGCATTATTTATAGGCTTCAAAACATTATTTATCATTAATATTATTATGTAGAAAGTATTACATTTTATAAACCTTATTGTTACCTTAATAGGCTGTAGGTACGAATGACATTTATAAAAATTTGAATACTCAGGTGTTTTAAAAAACTTTTACAAAAATATGAATAGGGACAATATATAGAGATTAAAAAATATCGCAGTCAAAAATACACAATTGATGTATCAAAAAATATATAAGGTACTAACATAATAATGACAAATAATAAATGCCGTCCTTACCCTTGCACAAACTCTGTATTTGGGGTTAAAATTCACTCGTAAAGGGGTGCATAGGCATAGTATTATTA